TCAAAAATCAGTAGCCCTCCTATATACAAATGATAAATGGGCTAAGAAAAAAAATTAGAGAAACAATACCCTTTACAATAGCCACAAATAATATAAAATACCTTGGGGTAACTCTAAGCAAGTGAAAGACCTGTATGACAAGAACTTTAAGTCTTTGAAGAAAGAGATTGAAGAAGATATCAGGAAATGGAAAGATCTCCCATGCTCATGGATAGGTAGAATCAACATAGTAAAAATGGCAATCTTACCAAAAGCAATCTACAGATTCAATGCAATCCCCATCAAAATCCTAACACAAATCTTCACATACCTTGAAAGAACAGTATTAAACTTCATATGGAAAAACAAAAATTCCAGGATAACTAAAACAATCATATACAATAAAAGAACTTCCAGAGGCATCACCATCCCTGACTTCATGCTCTGCTATAAAGCTATAATAATAAAAAGAGCTTGGTGTTGGCATAAAAACAGACACATACAGCAATATAATTGAAGACTCTGATATAAATCTACACACCTATGAATACCTGATTTTTGACAAAGAAGTCAAAATTGTACAATGGAAAAAGAAAGTATCTTCAACAAATGGTGCTGGCATAACTGGATGTTGACATGTAGAAGATTGCAAATAGATCCATATCTATTGCCATGCACAAAACTAAAGTCCAAGTGGATAAAAGACCTCAACACAAACTCAGTTTCACTGAACCCAATAAAAAAGAAAGTGAGAAGTAGCCCTGAATATATTGGCACAGGTGACCACTTCCTGAATATAACATCAGTAGCACAGATACTGAGCTCGACAATTAATAAATGGGACTTTCAGAAACTGAAAAGCTAAGGTCATGATCAATAAGACAAAACAGCAGCCTATAGAATGGGAAAAAACTTCACCAACCAGACATCTGACAGAGAAATCTCCAAAATATATAATGAACTCAAGAAACTAGACATCAAAATACCAAATAATTAAAAAATGGGGCACAGATCTTAACAGAATTCTCAACACAAGAATCTCAAATGGCTGAAAGCCAATTAAGGAATTGTTCAACATTCTTAGTCATCAGGGAAATGCAAATCAAAATGACTCTGAGATACCATCTTACACCTGTCAGAATGGCTAAGATCAAAAACATTGAAGACAGCTTATGTTGGAGAGGATGTGTAGTAAGGGGAACACTCCTACATTGCTGGTGGGAGTGCAAACTTGTACAGCCACTTTGGAAATCAGTATGGCAGTTTCTCAGAAAATTGGGAATCAATCTACCTCAAGACCCAGCAATACCACTCTTGGGCATATACCCCAAGGATGCTCAATCATACCATAAGAACACTTATTCAACGATGTTCATAGCAACATTATTCATAATGGCCAGAACCTGGAAACAACCTAGGTGTCCCTCAACTGAAGAATGGATAAAGAAAATGTGGTACATTTACATAATGGAGTATTATTCAGCAGTGAAGAACAACATCATGAAATTTGAAGGCAAATGGATGGAACTAGAAAAAAAATCATCCTGAGTGAAGTAACCCAGACCCAGAAAGACAAGCATGGTATGTACTCACTCATAAAGTGGAGAGTGGATATAAAGCAAAGGATAACCAGGCTATAATCTACAGTCCTAGATAAACTGGGAAACAAGGAAGACCTTAAGAGGGACACATGTGCCTTGGAATGGTCTGTATGTCAAATTGCTCTGATTGGTCAATAAATAAAACACTGATTGGCCAGTGGCTAGGCAGGAAGTATAGGCGGGACTAACAGAGAGGAGAAAAGAAAGAACAGGAAGGTGGAAGGAGACACTGCCAGCCGCCACCATGACAAGCAGCATGTGAAGATGCCAGTAAGCCACGAGCCATGTGGCAAGGTATAGATTTATGGAAATGGACTAATTTAAGCTATAAGAACAGTTAGCAAGAAGTCTGCCACAGCCATACAATTTGTAAGCAATATAAGTCTCTGTGTTTACTTGGTTGGGTCTGAGCGGCTGGGGGACTGGGACATGACAGAAATTTGTCCTGACTGTGGGCAAAGCAGGAAAACTATAGCTACACACATGGGTCACCCTGGGAAGGGGAAATAGATGAGATCTCCTGGGTAAACTGGGAGTAGAGGTAGAGGGGAGAAGATGGAGGATGGCAACATGAGGGATCAGGATGGTTGAGTTGTGGGAGGGACGGAGAGGGAGAGCAACAAAAGAGAAACCTTGATAGAGGGGGGTCATTATGGGGTTAGAGAGAAACCTGGTGCCAGGGAAACTCCCAGAAATCCATAAGAATGACCCCAGATAAGACTCCTAGCAATAGTAGATGGGGAGCCTGAACTGTAATCACATTGGTGACTACTGTCGTCATAGGACATTCATCCAGTAACTGATGGAAGCAGATGCAGAGATTCATGGCCAAGCACTAGGCTGAGCTCTGGGAGTCCAATTGAAGAGAGTGAGGAAGGATTATATAAGCAAGGGGGGTCAAAATTGTGATGGGGAAATCTAAAGAGAGCTGACCCGAGCTCATGGGAGCTCAGGGAAGCTGGACCAACAGCTGGGGAGCCTGCATGGGACCGACCTAGGCCCTCTGCATGTGGGTGAAAGTTGTGTAGCTTGGTCTGTTTGTGGGACCCCTGGCAGTGGGACCAGGATCTGTCTCTGGTACATGAACTGGCTTTTTGGAGCCAATTCCCTAAGGTGGGATGCCTCCCTCAGCCTTGATGCAGGGAGGAGGAGCTTAGTCTTTCCTTAACTTGCAATGCAATGCTTTGTTGACTCCCATGGGAGGCCTTACCCTTTTTGAGGAGTGGGTGTGTGGGGCTAGAAAGAAGGTGAAGGGAGGGAACAGGAGGAAAGGAGGGAGGGGAAACTGTGGTTGGTATGCAAAGTAAAAAAAAAAAAAAACAGAAGTAGGGATGACAAAGATGACTGTGTCATCCAAAGCCCACCCCAGCATTGGTGATGAGTTATGAAAGCCACAAACCTGTGGCTCACTGCCTAACTGGCAGTCGCCTGCCCAGGTTGGAGAGTGTCTCTTCCAGGTAACTCACCTGATCTGAACCTCTTCCAGGTAGCACAAATCTTTGCTTCTTCCAGGCGGACTGGCTGGACTAAGCCACTTCCAGGCCACTATGGTTGTCTGGGAGTGTCTCCTAGCAGCCCTTCCTGTTATATATAGACTTGAGGATTGAGGGGCTTGGTGACTCTGGTCAGGGATTTCCTGAGTTGTTTACTTTTTGATGTTTAAGGAACTTCTTGGCAGGATCGATGTTTAACCTTCCTTTAGAACACCCTGGCTCTTATGGAGCTTCCCTTCTAGATAGAAAATTTGATTTAGAAGGAAAATGGCCACACAATACCTGTCTACATCTGGTGTCTTGTAAGATGGCTTATGTCTAATTCAAGGAGGACATGATTTACTTGTGATTGCCAGGCCAGCTTCTGAGTGTCAGGGACTGCTCTTTGTATTTTTCCTTGGCACCAATCCTATGGTATGCCCAGATCTTGATTCTGGGAATTCAGCAGTGAATAAAATAGATAAAACCCATGGAGTTGATATGCAAATAAAGGAGACATCAGGAATAAGGGAAATAAGTAAATTAGAATGTGTTAGAAGGTGGTGAGTACCATGGAAGAAACAATACAGTAGCGAAAGGAATACTGGGAATGAAGGCTTTTAAATTTGAAGTGAGAAGGTCAAGGCAAGCACCCCTGTGAGGTCCACATTTTTTTTTTTTTTGAGAAAAGATGCAGAGGTGATGAGGGAATAATGCATGAAGATATGTGAGAGTGTGATGCTTCCCAGGTGTAGAGAGTAAGTTGCTCATTTTTTGTCTGCTGCATTCTGAGATTATCAAGGCACCCTATGGTTGCAGAAAATAGGGGAGAATAAAAAGACATGTTGTCCAGGAAGGTAGTGGGGATATGGGTTAGGGATTTTAGTCCAATAATAAGAGAGCAGACAGAATGCTGCTTTTGATAACTTCGAGGGTGGCCATCTCCAAGTGTGGCTTGGCCTAGAGATCTTCCATCTCCTGTACAGGAATGGCCAACTTTATTACCTTTGCTAGTTTATTGTTTGTGCATAATGCTAAAGCGAACACTTAAGATGATTCTATTCAAAAGTGTAATTCAGGGGATATTCATGCATTGAATGGAAAATGAGATGGATAATTGTAAATTAGTCTTTAAGAGGAAGATCTTCAAATAAGGGAAATAATAGTGTTGTAAATGCACACCACTGTTATATTGCACTGTAAACCCGAATTGAAGGGCTGCATTGGCCAAAAAAGAAATTAATGTATTATACACATGTGTAAATATATAGTTCAATTATATGAAAAACTAAACTTTGCAGCACAGGAATTGAGAGCTAAACTTTAGATATGATGCTTCCCCCCCCATGAATTGGTTTGCAATGTATATCCTGAAAAACAAGTAACTTTCTTATGTATTTAAAGATCTATTAGCAAAGTCAGGTACTTAGTACTGACTTAATACTGAGATTTAATACACAGCCTTTACTCAGATTGTACCAGTTTCCCACAATGATCTATTTCCTAATGGTAGAAAATCCAAGATCACAAGGTATGTCTATTTTGTCTTAGGATTTTGCTTTTACTTGGACCAGATCCTGAAGGGAGGGTGTGTGTGTGTGTGCGTGTATATGTGCATGTGTGCATGTGTGCGTGTGTGTGTGTGTGTGTGTGTGTGTGTGTGTGTGTGAGTGCTTCCTAGTCTCATGATGTTGACATTTTATGTATTTATTTTTAAAAAATTAACTGACAATTTCATAATACCTAAGATGTGTTTTGATTAAATCCACACGCCATTACTTCCCCTTTTAATTCATCCCCTATCCCCCTGTCATTCACCTGCTTCCCAACTCCATGACCCTCCTCCTGAAGCCACTTAGTGCTGCCTCTGTGCCCATGGGTGTAGAACCCTCTCTGAAGTGCATAGTTACTTTGTAAAATATGCTCTAATTTCAATTTATGTCATTAGATTTAGGTTATGCATGTTTGGTAAGAACACCATGGAAGTGACATTGAATTCTTCTCAGTGCATCAAAACAAAAGGGAAGTGCTGCTGGTGAGTTTCAGTTCTGACAAAGAAGATTTTGATCAATTGATTAAGAAAGTATTTCTACTGTGCTATGTTTGAAAATTAAATGTCCTCCATAGGCTTTTGTTTTGAATGATTGGTCCCTAGTTGGTAGCACTAACTTCAGGAGACATGGCCTGGCTGGAGGAATCAGGGCACTAGAGGCTTTGAAATTTATATTCCATCCTTGGTCCCTTCCTCTTTAGCTTCTTCCTGCGTGGCATGATTTGGATATCTCCCATGTCACATGATCTTACTACCTTAATGTTCAGCCTTACCTCAGACTCAAGTGATGGAGCCAGCCCATCATAGACTAAAACTCTGGAACCATGAGTGTATTCATCACTTTTCTATTGCTCTGATAAAACACCATGACCAAGGCAATTTCTAAAAGAAAGTGTTTAACAATGCCCCAACTAGACATCTTATACCACCAAATAAACCCTACAGTGCCAGGAATAGGTTACATTATGCTGAGTTGTTGGCCAAATGAGTTCCATAGATCCTCCCCTAAATTCACAGGTTATTCCCTACAAACATGATGGTAAGCTTTCATTGCTGAAGACATCACTTACTTATGTCATGATACATGGGGAAATCTACCTGGTACTCAACTAGAAGCTTCATTCCCAACTGACTAGCATTCATGGTGCTGGAAGGTACCTTGCATGTTGGCGGAGGAGAAAAGTAATCAATATCACACAGTTATAAAACCTGCAACTTACGTCAGCGATCTGCCTGCAAGATTTACTGGTGTAATAGCAGCACAAATGTTATAGGCGTAACCAGCCATTTTTGGTTGGATTTAAAGGCCCACTTCAGAGAGAGAATCCGTTCCTGACACTACTGAAGTGGCCAGGAATCTGAGGCTAGACAGGCCCTAGGAGAAAAATCTACTACTCTTTTTCTGCTAAAGGAACATAGTAATAAAATGTTAATGGCTATTGTTATACCTATAGATCAGTGCTTCACTTAACCCTCATCAGACCCACAACTGGACATTGTGCAGAGAGTGAGAGACTTTGGAACACTCAGCCCTAAATGAGATGACTTTATCAAATCTCCCTGCTCAAGGCTTAGCAATTTTTGCAGAAGAGGAGGCAGAAAGATTTTAAGAGCCAGAGGTGGTGTAGGAGGCCAAGGAAACAGTGTCTTCCAGACACAACAGGGTCCATCTATGAACTATAGAGACTGTGACAATATGTACAAGAGCTGCACAGGTTCAATCCAGATAAAATCTCAGCACTGAGAAGAGAAGGAAGACACAAAGTCTCACTCCTAATCAAGAAGTGATTTATAATTTCCTGCTGGGAAAGGGAAAATAAGTTTTCTCTAATGGAATGGGACAGAGACCCAGACCCAGGAATAGTTGGCTAACACAGAACATATTTTTGTATTACTGGATTTTTGTTTGTTTTTAGTTTTATTTGTTTTGCTTTGAGAGAGAAATAATATGCAATTGGATGGGTAGAGAGGTGCGGAGGATCTAGGAGAAGCCAGTGAAGGTGAAAGAATAAGGTCAAAATGTATTGTATGAAAAAATTTAAATAAACATTAATTAAAAATAAAACACTTAATTGCACTTATGGTTTTAGAGTGTTAGAGTTCATGAGGGCAGAGCAAAGGCATGGAGGTTGGAAAGCTGATAGCTCACATCTTGGTCCACAAGCAAGAGGCAAAGACAGGTATTGACAATGGAGTTAGTCTTTTAAAAACCTCAAAACCAAGCCAGGTGGTGGTGGTGCACACCTTCAATCCCAGCACTCCAGAGGCAGAGCCAGGCAGAGTTCTGTGAGTTCAAGGCCAGTGTGGTCTACAGAGTGAGATCCAGGACAGGCACCAAAACTACACAGAGAAACCTTGTCTAAAAAACAAACAAATAACAAAACAAATAAACAAACAAACAAAAACCCGAACAAACAAAAAACCCCAAAACACCTCAAATCCCACCCCAGTGACACATGTCCTCCAGCAAGGCCACACCTCCAAATCCTTCCCAAACAGTTCCACTAACTGGGGACCAAGTATTCAAACATTTGAGCCTATGGGGTCATTCTCATTCAAACTGCCACAATGAGGCAAAAATCTATAATTCCTTCTTTTAAATTGTTATTTTCAGGTGTTTGGTCAACAAAAGATGAATATTATATATTGAGTCTTACTTTTTTTGTAATGAGTATGCATCTTGTAGGGGGTACTATGAAACTGTGTAAATATCTTCTGATTCTTTAAGCATCCTTTCTTTTTTTTTTTTTTTTTTTTTTTATTATTATTATTATTATTATTATTATTATTTTACAACACCATTCAGTTCAACATAATAGCCACAGAATCCCCTGTTCTCCCCCTCTCGCCCACCCCTCCCCCCAGCCCACCCCCCATTCCCACCTCCTCCAGATCAAGGTCTCCCCCGAGGACCGGGGTTGACCTGGTAGACTCAGTCCAGGCAGGTCCATTCCCCCCTCCCAGACCGAGCCAAGTGTCCCTGCATAAGTCCCAGGATTCAAACAGCCAACTCATGCAACGAGTCCAGGACCTGGCACGAATGCACAGCTGCCTCCCAAACAGATCAAGCCAACTGACTGTCTCACCCGTTCAGGTGGCCTGATCCAGTTGGGGGCCCCTCAGCCTTTGGTTCATAGATCCTGTGCTTCCATTCATTTGGTTATTTGTCCCGGAAGCATCCTTTCTTGTACACTATTCTTGTACACTCACTATTGCCAGAATAATTTTTTTAAAATGTCAGTCACCAAGTGGTGATTTCCTAATTCCATCATTTTTTTTTCTACACTTAACTGTTGGCTTTCTGAGTTTAAGTTAACAGTGTGTGTGTGTGTGTGTGTGTGTGTGTGTGTGTGTGTGTGGCTAGGGGTTGAATTAGGCCATATCCTTAATTGCTTTCCACATCCCCCTCATGTTTATCAGTTCATAGAGAATTTCATATGGTTTATTTCGATCCTATCCACTCTCTTTCCTCACTCCTCCCAGTTCCACCGCTCTTCTCTACCCACCCACATTTGTGTTCTCAGTTTGTTTGTTTTTTAATCATGTACAGTTGGTAACTGCCCTTGGATGTGTAGCCTTCTTCTAGAGCATGATTAATTCACCAGGATCCATACCCTTAAAGAAAACTGACTCTCACCAGGCAGCAGTGGTGTACACCTTTAGTCCCAGCACTTGGGAGGCAGAGGCAGGTGGATCTCTCTGCATTTGAGGCCAGCCTGGTCTACAGAGTGAGTTCCAGGATGGTTAGGGACACACAGAGAAACCCTGTCTCAAAAAATCAAACCAACCAACCAAACAAAAAAACCAAAGCACCACCACCACCACCACCACCACCACCACCACCACCACCACCACCACCACCACCACCCTCCCCCAACTCTCTCCCAACAGCCATTAATTGCCAATAGCTTTTTAGATAGGGGTAGGACTTTGTGCCTACCTCTTCTCTCCATGCTGGGATTTTGTCTGGTGAGAGCTTGTACAGATTTTGGACATGCTGTCTAAATTACTCTGAATACATGCATGCAGCTGGCTTGCTGGGTGAGGAAAACAGTTTCGTGTAAATCACCTATTACTCTTACTTCTTTCTGCCTCCTCTTTCCCAATTATCCTGAGCCCTGGAAAGAGGAGTATGTTATGAATGTCCAGGTTAGGGACATTCTCTTTTTCTTTGAGTCTTGACCAGTTGTAGGTCTCTGTGTATATCACCATATACTTTAGAAAGAAGCTTCTGATGAGAGCTGATTTATTATTGACCAGTGGGTAAAACTTTAAGTCATTAAAAGTCACTGTATACTATGCCTTTTAGCAGAATAACAGTGGCAGGAGCTCTCATTGGCCCAATGACCTATCTAGTCACAGGTTTTTGGCCCATGCTATCAGGGTCCTGTTTAGAAAGTCCTTTACTGTGCCAGTGAGTTCAAGCATATTTCTATTCTCTCTGAGTCAAGGTGTCAGGTCTTATGTCAAGGTCTTTGATCTGTTTGGAGTTGTGTTTTGTGCAGGATGAGAGGTAATAATTTATTTTCATTCTTTTACGTTTGCCATCCAGTTTGATCAGCACCATTTGTTAAAGATGCTGTCCTTTTCCCAGGTGTATTATTGGTCTCTTGTAATCAAATGAGATGGTTGTAGAAACTGGGGTCCCCAGTTCTATTCCATCGATCAAAGTGTCTGGTTTTATGCCAGTGTCTTGCAGTTTTTATTACTGTAGCTGCCTGGTGTAACTTTAAACCAGAGTGTTGATGTCTTCAGCCATTGTTCTTATCATTCAGGATTGTTTTTGTTCTTCTGTTTCATGTGCATGTGTGTGTGTGTTTCATATAAAATTTAAGGTTAATTTTTTTCAACTTTTGATGGTGATCACATTGTGTCTGTACATTGCTTCTAGTAGAATGGCCATTTTCACAATATTAATCCATGAGCATGGAAGGTCTTTCCATAGTTTGATAATTTCTTCAATTTCTTTCTTCCATGTCTTAAACTTTTTATTGTAAGTTTTATTTTATCTTTCTTCACTTCTTCAGTTAGATTTGTTCTAAGATTTCTTTGAAGCTATTGCGAATGGGATTGTGTCTCTGATTTCTTTCGTTATGTTTCTCATTTGTATGTGGAAAGGCTGCTGATTTTTGTGTGTTAGTTTTGTAACCTGGTACTCTACTGAATGCATTTATCTCCCGTGGGAGTTTTCTGGTGGGACCTTTAGGGTCTTTATGTATAGAATAACATTATCTGAAAATATGGATACTTTGACCTCTTTTTCTATAGGTCTTCCCCTTTCTCATGTGCTGTTATATTGCACTAGCTAAAACTTCAAGCATGTATTGAACAGGAATGCTGAGAGGGACATCCTTGTCTTGTTCCTAAGTTTAGTGGAAATGCTTTGAGTTTTTCTCTGTTTAACATGATGTTGGCTGTGGGTTTGTTGTCTATTGACTCTATTATGTTGAGATATGTCCCATGTATCCCTCAATTCTTGGACT